CAGATATTAATTAAATTATAATATATCAATTCATGTGAATATGACTGTAAAAATTAATTTTTTTCTTGAAAAGGTGGTGTCTATTTACTTGCGACAACGCTGTATATATATATATATATAGGTAAGTCTTCCCACAAGTCTGAGCATCGCAGTTAGAAGGTGAAATAGAGAAACTCCATGTACAGGAAGTTGTTAATCTATAGTCCAGACTGCTACCCTACCTATTTTTGTAGCACTATAGATGTTTTCTATAGGAAAAACTCCACCTAATCCATATAGAAGAACTTTAGCCAGAGCAGGTACCAACTGAGTCGTGGTTACCAGAACGTTGACACAATTACTCCTGTGAACGAAAGAGAACAGCGACTATAAGATGGGAAACATGGGCACATATTGTTACTGGTAGTTTAATAACACGTGAAATATGTATTCAAATCTTATCATCAGGGCTGTATATACAGCCTATTTAAAACCCTAAAGTTGTTTAAAATAATCAAAGACAGAGGGAAACAGATATGTGGATGGGCAAGAAAATTGATTGCAGGTAAAGACCACTTAAACTTAAAAACAATGAAATAAAATTGGCATAAGACCAAAAGTATATATATATATATATATGTAAATGAAACTACAGATATGGACAACACAACTGTAAGATAAACAGTTCTTCCAGTTAGAAACATTAATTGGTCCATCGTCTGTACTTAGATACGTAGATCAATGTTTTCAGTAATACAAATACTTTCTCTTGAGTTTCTTCCAATCTTTGTTTTGTAATTCTTATGGTTTAAAAACTGTTCCACAAATATTTGCCATCACAGTTCCAGTAATTTTTAGCAACAGCTGAGCACAGATTTGTGTTATTTCCATCTCGTTTTTAACTTCCCTTCATTCGACCTACTGCAACTACAACTGATTTGGTAAATTCTATTTTTTCTTTATTACGACTTTATATGGTTTAAATTATTAAATGTTATGTTTTGAAAAATGAATTCTACAGTATATTATCCTTGTCTAAATGTTTTGGCAATCTTGTCCTACTGATGAATTTTGTTTTTAGATGGGTAACTTTGGAGATAGATAATTTATAATAACTTATTTGTAGGTATTTTTCTTTTCTATAGCTCTAAAAATGTGCTAAATATTATTTCCTTAACTTCTCTATGTAAAATAGCGCAAAGTACCTAAAAAACACTATACAGTTATTAATTATAGTATTTTGGCACTTGTGTTTGAAGTTAAAATCATAAATAAAAACCTGCGCAGAAACTATGATATTGTTACGTCTCCGTTTTTTAATTGATTTTCCGTAACTTCGTACCGACGAAACTTAAGCGACACAAGCCTT